CACACACACAGAGACACACACACACACACACACAGACAGACACACACACACACACACACACACAGACACACAAACAAACACAGACATACACACAGACACACACACACAGACGAGCTGATCAGGTCAAACACGCATATAACAGAACGATGAGCTCTAACGGAGGAGAAGCATGTGGCTCTCACCTGTCCGGCGTCCAGGTAATGCGTGACCTGCAGCACCAGGAAGAACACACGCAGCGACTCCTTCTGGATGGGGTTTCCCTGCCAGGTTTCCACGATCTGTCCGCAGAGAGTCAGGAGCGGATGAACCTCCTGCAGCTTGCGCTCCATCAGCAGCAGCTACAGACAGCAGAAGAGCAGATTCACACAGACTGAGCACTCACCGCACACCAGGAATAAATCATACATTTTAATACTCATTTTGAAACTTTTGTCATCTGACTGATTTTGTTATTTTAGTAAGCTGATACAAATACATCATCATGTGATGGAGAGCTTCTTTTGATATTTTTGAACTCGGCATCATCAAATTAGCTGATATTTGGGCTTTTGTTTTTTGTTTTTGCAAATCAGCAGGATTTTTTTCTTCCAGATGCAGGGCAAAACAGATGAACAACGAGTGCATTACGATTCAGCTTCAAACGCTGCCGTGGCATCATCACTGTTAGGATGTAACAATACTATGTAACAATAATACGATTTTTAGTTGTTTTTTTTTAGATATATATTGTGATATGATTTAATTAGCTGTACTAGAAAAGAATAATTATTTTAGAGTGTGAAATCTTTTCAGGGCTGCAAGATTTGGGACAAAAATTGTGTTCATACTTGTGTTAACGTCTTATAAGAACCGACTCGAACCTCTTTCAGTAACCATTAAAAACTCTTTCTACTTGTGTTTCATAGGTCACATTCTCCTTGTTTTTTTGACTGTAAAATATTAACTGTCATTGTTTTATTGTGATTATAATATTTAAAAAAATTTATTTCATAATATCACAATATTCTCAATAAGAAATACACTGTGAAATAAAAATAATTGTATTTATATTTACTTTATTAGTCAGATGTTACTCACCATGCCTTTGCTCAACAGGAAGAGAGCTCTGAGAAAACAACCAGAGTCACATCATCAACATCTCAAACATTCAGACATCATAGTATCAAATACATGTGATGTTATGAAATACTGAGCGGCGTGATCCATACCTGGTGTATTCAGATCCCACGACTCTGGCGTACTCAGCGCCGACCCCCAGCAGATCGCAGGCCGACACCAGGTCCTTCTCCAGCGTGTGCAGTTGCTGCAACAACATCCAGTGCATGCTATCATCATCATGTGCTCAGGTTTGACCAGAAGGACTGGTTTATTTGTGTCTGATTCTGTTACATTCAACACTTGCGCACACCAATATCGGACTTCATATTCTATAAGCAGAAATTAATGACTTTCTCATTTCTGTCCCATAAAGAGCTGTCAAATACAGTTTTTCTAAAATATGACAGTACAGAAGTAAAGGCAGTTATGAGTGCTACTGACTCTAATGATGTATTAACGAGTGTGTGTGTATATGAGTGTGTCTGTGTGTGTGTATATATATGAGTGTGTCTGTGTGTGTGAGAGTGTGTCTGTGTGTGTGTGTGTGTGTGAGAGTGTGTGTGTGTATATGTGTGAGAGAGTGTGTCTGTGTGTGTGTGTGTGTGTATGCATGTGCTTGAATGTGTGTGTGTGTGTTTTTGTGACAAATGAGGACATAAATTTGTATAATGAATGAGGTATGACATAGGTATTACAAGGAGAAGGTGACTTTTCAGGACATTACCCCATGTCCCCACTTTTCAAAACGCATATAAATCACACAGAATGGAGTGTATTGAAAATCTGAAATAGCACAAAGTTTCCTGTGAGGGGTAGGTTTAGGGGTAGGGTTGGATTTATTTTAATTAATTATATATATGCTCTGCCGTTCAATAGTTTGGGATCAGTAATGTAATGTGTTTTAATGAAGTCTCTTCTGCTCATCAAGGCTGCATTTATTTGACCAAAAATACAGAAAAGGCAGTAATATTGTGAAACATTATTACCATTTAAAATAATGGTTTTCTATGTGAATCTCTGTTAAACTGTAATTTATTTCTGTGATGCGCAGCTGTATTTTCAGCATCATTACTCCAGTCTTCAGTGTCACATGATCTTCAGAAGTCATTCTAATATGCTGATTTATTATCAGTGC